ATATATATATATATATATATATATATATATATATATATATATATATATATATATATATATATATATATAGAAAAATCTAGCGATACGTATCTCGCCGTTATTAAAAACGAAATGGATATGCAAGACAATGAATTACCTCTTTAAGGATATTGTAATTGATTTGGAATTCAAGTGCCTTGCTAAGCCATGCATGAGACCACTTGGCTGGAGTTACGATACTTTCGATACAAGTTCGTACTAATCCGTGTGTTACTTTTCTCCATTTATCCCTTGTAGGACTGAAAAAATCCCATATTGGCTCGTGTACGATGTCACTGTCTCTGAAAATCGTGTTTGTAATTAAAATGGTTATATGTTTAAATGGTCATGGATATTTCTTCCGGGCTTTTTGCTTGATTGACTGATGCTGAAATAATTCTGAATAACTGTCTATACTGTAAGTAAGCAATTCTACGTACATAAAAAATGATTTTGATTATAACTTTGATTTTGACTTTGCATTTCCGTGTAACCGAAACGTGTGCGTATTATCGTATTTCGAAGTACTGAGAGAATTCTTTTTCGAGCCGTCGCAGAATTGTTCGATTATGCGCCTTACCTGAAAACTGTACATTGCCAACCTCCCATAATCTTCGTAGGTAATTCTGGAAATGCGATGACATTGGTCTTCATTTTTGTGCAGAAGTTATTCGTATAGTCCGATAAATATTGATCAGTCCGTTTAACGAATTGTCGTAGGCGATTGCTAGATTCTTGGGTCAATTGTTTGCTAAACCATATGGTGTCGTCTTTCATTACCTTTCCGTATACAGAATGAAGAATACCGATTGTGACGAGATAAGTAGGCATGAAGTATGTAGATTCAAAACTCGTGCGTATTCGGTGTCCAAGTTGCGTAGAGCTACGTTGCTCCATATTAGAGAAAACATAATATCCAGGCATATGGTCGACAGAGATTTTGAAGATTGCCTTGAACTTTGGCTCGTCCCAACATGGAAACACGCGTCGAGCTCCGTTCGGTTCAAGCACCGTTATGTACGATCTAATTATATTTCAAGAGCAAAACTTTAATAATAATAGAATCGTTGTGAGACATATAGTTATCTAACAGATCAATATTTTCCTTATACATCAGGTATCATTAAATCAGGTAAATTTCGGACGTTAGGAACATTTTGTCTGACAAAATATCTCAACAAATGAGATTCCACGCGATGAAATTTGAGGAATAACATTGAAACTCAGTCCGCACTTTCTATGCGTAAAAAATTTGTTTACTTTATCTAAACCGCCGTCACGATACTTTCACATCGCATAAAATATGAAATTATATACAAGTAGTAACCAGAAAATTATTAGGAGGGAGGATTTTCGCATATTTGCTTGGCTCATTTGCCGGAGACAAAGTCAGAAATCATAGATTACATGCGGATCTTTCAGTATACATGACTCAGTCAACAAAGAAAAGTATCGCATACAAAGATTTTGTTTTTGTATTTTATTTATTACTCACATCGTATTTCCGGTATCCCATTTATTGTGTTTGATTTTGACGAAACCAAAGTTTTTCTCTATTTTACCTTTATATTCCATACTTAATATGTACTTTCCAGGAAACAAATATTTATTAAATGTTAGAGACGAAATACCCTCAGCGACATATCTGGCCTGTGTCTTTAGTTCGTACTGTATATTGTCTAAGAGTCCTTCAAGTCTGACACTTATGAGGTCTATTTCTAGGTTTTCTAAGTGAAAAATAATGGTTGGAGTCGTTTTATATACTTCGAGGGTTATATTAACTATCCCATGAAAGTAGTCTTTGTCCGGACTAGCCATTTTCAGGATTATGTCGTAGCTGAAGGGTGATATAGTGTCCGGTAAAGCATCATCGACTGTATTATCGAATTTGTTATTTAGTGTAGGCATGCGGGTAATATCAATTGAATTTGTGTATATCAGAACATTGAACAATATAGTGAGGAGCACTACACCAATTCTCATTGTCGTCACCTGTGAGAGCGGATTTTTTGCGTAAAGAACGGATAAAATTTATATACACATACACAATTGAAAATTTAATTGATTTAAAATTCTGTTAATTGATGACGTTACAATATATTCGTGCGAAATTTCTCTTACCATCTTAGATTAGCAACGACATCAGAGGGCTCGGTATCATTACGAACATAGAGTGGTCCGTGTGTGAGCGAATTGAGTCTTTTAAATACCCAGAGGCATCGTGTATCGATACACACATGGACGAGTATCGACATCTAGTCCTTTAAAGTTGTGAAGCTTTGCCGATTAGCCAATTAGTCATGATGAATCTCAGCAAACATGAAGACATAAAATCGTCATAAAATTATTTATCCCAAATGTCTCTTTTCTCAAATGTATCTCCAGGATACGAACGAAATTTTGGAAAAAAGGAAAGGAAAGAAGACGTGTGTATTGAGACGAACAAAGAAATTGCCGCGGAAAAGATCGCCCTCTATGTCGCTCTTGCGAATTCACGTCATGCCCGTGTTTATGGCCGCGTTCCGTTTTACATATATGCGCGCATTTATCTACAGTTCATGTCACATATACTGTAGGGAATGCGCGCATAATGTGTGAAACGGAACGCAATCTATGTATGTGACTGAACGTAGAAGTTAATTATGTGAGTACCGGTGTTGTTCTTCGTGACAGAGATTTACGTGCTATTTAATGAACACAGAATAATTCACGTGCAATCATTTTTTTATGACTCATCATCTCTCTCTGTATTATTTTATATTTTTAAAAAACTTATCGATCTCTCGCAGCCAATTCTCGCGATTCGATTGTCGTCTGCGCAATGTAGGTTAGAATTTACTCTCAACTTTCTCGATCAAACTGAATACACAATCAAAATTGATTAATTTGATAATTTATAAAAATAGGGATATAACTTAAAATATGATAAGATCGGCAAATGAAGACGAACAAATGGAAACTAAAAATTAAAAATTTAAGAAGATTATGAGTTAACTGATAGGAAAAGGAAGAACAGTAAATAAATAAAGTCAAGGTGGAGACGAATCGCAATTAATCGCAGATACTATTGTATCTGTCAAATTATTGTATCAATTAATTAAAAATGCTTCAAGTAAAAAAGCAAAGACAAATATCAGCTTAAATTGTATTTATTTTTGCAGCATTCAATGGATCATCATGGCTGACTCTGAATCAAAACTCCGAGTCAGATTTTCTCAGAATATTCTACTATCCAGGTAACGCAGAGCTTTGGATAATATTCTAAAGTACAGCTGCAAGATGTCCTTTAAAGTGAGATTAGCCCGCAGCAGACCTATGCGTTTGTTGGGCAGCATTGCTCTTAAATGCTGGGCCTTCTCTGGTGTCTATTTGCTAGTTTGCTTTCTTCTGTACTGGCTGTATGGTGGAGTCTTGGCCTTTCTTCTGCTCTGCTTGGCCACAACTGGTTTGTACTAAATCTCTTTCTCTGTCTAGAAGCCTAGAGTCAAATTTTGCTGCAATTGTTATTTAATATAATGATGATAAAATACATAATTTCAATATGATACTCCACTGGAGATTATCTATGTATATTACTCTTGCATTTGTAGTTGATTATTTTAGTTTCTTGTGGAATAAAATAATTTGTTTAAGATATTTCAGTTACATTTTTTAAAATTTATTTTTATTTTTCAATTATCTATTTTCATCACAGGGATATTATATCATAGAGAAGATCAACTTCTCTATCATCCAGAGTTGCCTGCGCACTCCAGAGTATATGTCCCTGCTCCTTCCATCTTCAGTCTACCATATCAGAGCATATATACCAGATCTGGGGATGGAACAATGCTGCACATGTTCTTCATTTCTCAACCAGAAGACAAAATGAAGAAGGTGCCTACTATTTTGTTTTTTCATGGCAACGCTGGCAATATGGGTCACCGGTATGATATTATATTTAGCGTTATTATTCTTTATTCTGCTCCACACAAGTGTTTTAAAATGCGTTTCTTTTTTATTTGAAAATTTTGATATGATAAGAGACAAAATCCTAAATATTGAATTGAATAATGAAAGTAAATATTTCATTTGTTTGCTTACTTCTTTACTTTCAGACTACAGAATATAGCGGGTTTGTATCACAATGTACAATGCAACATTCTTATGTTAGAATATCGAGGATACGGCTTGTCGCAAGGTTCTCCGTCGGAAGAAGGTTTTTACATGGATGCTCGAGCGGGAATTGACTATCTGTCCACTAGGACTGACATAAATACTAATGAAATTATTGTGTTTGGTAGATCGTTAGGTAACAAAAATAATATTTTATTATATAAATTTAAGGAAGCCATTATGGATACAAAATTCTCTTTATTTGAGATACAATGTAGAAACATTTTTACGTTGTTTTCTGTTTTATGGTTTTAATAGGTGGTGCGGTAGCGATCGATTTAGCCACGAAGGAGGAAAATTCGCGGCGAATTTGGTGCCTTATCCTAGAAAACACCTTTACCAGTATACCAGACATGGCCGCACTCTTTGTCGGCTCCAAGTTTTTGCAATATCTACCGCTCTTTATATATAAAAACAAGGTAAGGAATAGCAAAATTCTATAGCATTCGAACAAAATAATATTTTTTCTCTCCTCAAGTTTTCTCCCTCTGTCAAGAGAAAATTGTATAAATTCTTTAAATAATAAATACATAACATTTCTAGGACATACTGTGTCTAATGCCAATATATTTTCTTATTTCATCACAGTATCTGTCTATCCTCAAAGTGCGCTCCGTTATTGTGCCGACACTCTTCATTTCCGGTTTGGCGGATACTCTAGTGCCACCGCGTATGATGCAAGACCTCTATAAAACTTGCCGGAGCGGTCACAAGCAACTATTTCCCGTCGCCGGTGGCACACATAATGAAACGTGGTGTCAGCCCGGATACTACCAGCACATTTGTGCTTTTTTGACCGAGCTCAGGGAAAATCCGCCTCCGAGAGTGGCGTCTAGTCATTGGCACATAGACGATATCTAGCGATAAATTCAATATCTAGCGAAGGATTGATTTTATAGGAAAGGGATATAATTCGAAAATTAACAGGAAGGACTTAAAAATAAAAGTATTCAATGATAATATCAAAGAAATAATTTAATTTCCTCCTAGTCTTTTCTTTAAAATAAGAAGTTTGTTAATTAAATTAACAAATTAGCTGTCGAATAAGCTTTCGTGTAAGATCCAGTGTGTTGAATTAAGGGAAAAAAAGGTAATAAATATCTTTTCTATTTTTTTCCCAATAAAAATCTCTTAATATCCTTTTGGTATTAAGATATTTCTAATATAAATGTAAAAGAAATATGTTATAAATACGTTTTTATATAAAAATATACGCTTAAAGGAAAATAATTGAAAAAGAAATTTAATAGAAAGTAATTCTTTTTTTATTAATCAAAATTTTTAATCTTCTTATCTACTTCTATATTTATTTATCTATTTATATTTTTCTTCTTTTCACATATTTCTTCTTCTCTTCGTCTCTATATTTCCACTTTTTTAAGACGAAATACGTCTTTGAAAAATTTCTAATATTTCTAAAATCTCCTATTGATCCGCCTTTTCTTTATTATCATTTTCCGAGTTAGAATGACGGCGATTATTATTAAAATTGCGAGTATCGTCACCGTGATGCTTAAGGCAACAAGCATTCCCTTACTAAAGCTGAACGTCGCCGCCTGCTGACTGGTTACCTTCTGAAATTTGAATACCAATTTCTCGGAAAGATCGTCGCAGAAAACTTTGTTTCGCCACTGGTACCAATGAACTAGTCTTATGTTAGTGAGGGAAGCTGGTCTGGCGCACCTAAAATTGTAAAATTAAAAAGAGACGTAAGTCATTTATTTTATTCAATATCTACAAATAAAGAACATATGATGAAAGAGAATAATGAATATAATAATGATGAATATAATGAGAGAGGATGAATAATAAATATAAGAATATATGATGAAAAAGAAAATTATATTAATGTTAATTTATTTTTACCTCAACTCCTCCAAGAGACTGGGTTCCATCTTGTAGAGGTAAGGGACCAAATCGTCCAGCATCCACTGCAACGAGCAGTTGCAAACGAATGGATTTCCTTGCAGGTTAATGAGATAATGTGCGTTCTTACTTTTACTGTCATCTATCAGTTTTAGTGGAAATTGAGTGAAGTGATTGTTACTCAAATCTAGCTGGAAGATAAGATACATTGCATTATTTACGCATACATCGAAAAGACATGTAAGTCCAGAACGAAGTAAAAAGGTATGTGAACTTCAATTGTTGACGATAGAGTACTTACGGAACACACATTCATGTGTCGAAAAACATCCTCCGCTATCACACTCAGCTTCTTGCTATTGGAAATAGTTACATTTATACATCCGTTCGCTCTCTCTGTCAATTTCCAGAACGTATCTTTGTGTATCTCTTCGATCATGTCCAAGTGATACGCTTCGAACACATCTAATTTTAATTCAGACTGCAGACTTAAATCCTGCAAACGATTTCCACTAAAGTTGAGTGTTCTCAACAGCGGGAAGTTCTTTGTGGAAATCGAGTCCGGAATAGTCGTCAAGTTATTGAACGAACAATCTATCGACTTCAGATGCTTCAGCGTCATCGTTGGGAAGCCTGACAAGGAATTCCCACTGACATTCAGATATCTCAATTCCTTCAGCAATGTCAGATAATCCTTCAAGTCCGAGATTTGATTGTTCTCAATATTTAAAACTTGGATAGACATTTTCTTGGGTAATAAGACACTGATGAGATTGCCTCCCGCATGAAGTTCATCTAGCCTTAAGGGAAGATTCTGAAAGTCCAAAGACAGAAAACGATTGTCGTTGATGCGGAGGATCTTCAAGTACTGCAGATACGTCAGAGAGTTCGCTTCCAGACTGCTGAATTTGTTGAAGGAGAGATCCAAATACTCGAGTTGCGGCAGAGCGACTAGAAAATCCTGGTAGATGTCTGTTAGATTGTTGTGAGACAGGTCGAGCATCTTCAGACCCGTGACCACGCTCTGCGAACTTCTTTCTAGATTATTAATCTCATTGTGACTCAAATTAAGCTTCAGGAGGGGAGAATTCGCGTTCAGAATAGCAATGTCGAAGCTTGACAGGCAATTGTTAGAATAACTCAGATCTTCGAGACTGCTCAGAACTTTGAAGACGTCCTCGTGCACGTTCACCAGCAGATTTCCGGACAAATCCATTTGCTTCAGGTTTTTTATTTTGTTTAATATTTGACTGGTTAACAACACCGTGCCAGAGTTTCCGGTATGAACGAGTTTATGGAGGACTTGATGTTTGTCCAGAGTGAGAAATCCGTAATTTAAGGTTTCGTCATCTTTTCTGAATTTTCCGCGGCAATATGCGATTAAGCCTGAATCTGTCGATAAGATAACGTGTGATGTGTAATAGAGCTATTTTTTAAATATGTGGTAAAATTTAATACAAAAATTGCTATAATGTAACAAAAGTTTTATGATACGGAATTTCAATATAGAAAGCTAGTACACAGATACATAGTATCGATTTTAAATTTACTACTTTCTCATTCTTTATTTTTCTTTGTTTATTATCTTGTTTATATGCAAGATCATGAAATTTTTCAAACTACTTTTTAAACTGAAGTAAATTGCATTTTGGAATAAACTAGGTATATAATTAAGCATTGAAGAGAAAAGAAGCAATGTTCCAGCGCGTCACTAGAGCAAAAAAGTCCTTTGGTCTTTCCATCTTATGTGATCTTACCTGTGGTGACACATTCGCATGTTTTACATATGTCGCACAAACATTTGTTGCACCACACCGTCAAAAGTAACAATATTACAATCCTAATAATACTTAACATCATGTTATATTAATAATATTATATATCACGTTATAGACAGGCACTTCAAACATCATCCGTATTACTGACGAACTGAAAGGTTTGGAACTTAATCATACAACGAAATATCTGTATACCGGTTCTGATAGCATATCTGACGTAATATATATGATAGATAATCGGACATCTTTATATTGCTCACTTTACAAACTTTGTTTTATCTCTCTCCTAGGTTACATACTGCGAACCTTGCGTGTTATCGATAACAATGATAAACAAGAAACAGGAAAGATCATTCTTAGAATCAATAACGAAATTTTAGTATTAATAGTGATGAAAATGTTAACGATAGAGGATAGATAGAAAAGAGAAAGAAAATGGATCAATAATAGATTATTGACTAAATCTATCAACCCTTTTTTTATATTAATATTATTTCTCTTTATAGTTTTGTATTTATTATAATTATTAGAAATCTGTCGATATTTGTCAGTATTAATACCACTTAGTAAATCAATATTTTTTTACATCATTTATTAATATTAATTTATTCATTATATTGTAAAACGCGGAATATTATACAAAATTATTAAAGCTCCCGGCTACACTCGAAGCATATCTCGATTTATAGTATCAAAAGCGAGAAATCGTACGCTAACAATTCTTGCAAAATATAAAAAAATAGATATAATAAAAAATATAAAAAATAAAAAGATGTATCCATAAAATACTTGCAATCAATCGAGCAAATGCGTAAAATAGCCATCTTTTTGACACCATCTTTTGTTCTAATAATCAATAAATAACTAAAATTAACGTAACAAAATCATAAGGATATTTAAGTTAAAAAAATATTTTGCGTGTTGCATTAATTTGACGGTAATTTATTGATTGTTAGAGTAAAAGAAAAATATTTTGAACTATTTCACACATATGCATTAATTGCAAATGTTCTTTTATGGGTATATCTTTTTATTTTAACGTATTTTTATCGTGCATTTTTTCGTTTCTGACGTCATACACACACACACACACACACATGAATCGAGAATTTTGCAGCGAGAAGCCAAGAATCTTAATAATTAATATATAATTAATACCAAGGAGCTGATTTTTCCAACAAAATGTTCACAGATGAAATTCATACACAGATGATATCAGGCACTTCCAAACAGCGTTCTTCGCGATCCTAAGACGCTTTGCTGAAGAAGCTCGTCAATACAGACTGTTTCTTCTTCGCATTGTCGACTTTCATCTGCTTCTTTGAGGACGGTCCTTTTTCCTTTTTCTTCTTCTCTTCTTTTTCCTTCTCTTCTTTCTTTTTCTGTTCTCTTTCCTTTTCTTCTTTCTCCTTCTCTTCCTCATCTTCTGAACAGCTCACGTAAACGTGTACTTTCTTGGTCACAATGAAGCCGCGATCATCCTTGTAAGTCTCGTTCACCATCTTCAACATCTTCCGTTTGCCGTTTTCATGCTTCACCGCTGGCGGAGACGGGCTTTTGGGTCTAATAGGTGCTTCAGTTTCAGCCACAGCCTCGGGCATAGGTTCCTCTACGTCCATATCGCTTTGCGCTTCTGAGTCACTGGAGTCTGTCTGCACCACGATTCTCTTTCTTTTCTTAGCATCTCTGTCACTGCCTTGACTCCTGATCCGTTTCTTCCCACGGGGCTTCTCCTTTTCCTTAACTTTCTTAGTCTCAAAGATTTCTTCCTCCTTCTTCTTTGATACCTTGACTTCCTCCTCCTTCTTTGATACCTTGACTTCCTCCTCCTTTTTCTCTGATACCTTGACTTCTTCTTCTTTCTTCTCTGGTGCCTTGACCTCCGCGGGTTTCGGGAGAGACGACATCTTACCAAAGAAGCTCTCCAGACCTCCTTTCTTTGTCTTATTCGTTTCTTCTGCTTTTGAAGAAGTTTTCTTGGACTTGGAGCTGCCTGTGGTGCCTTTACTCTTTTCCAATGGGCTTTTGTTCTTTTTAGAACCTTTGCCTCTCTCAGTCAAATCTGTGTCGTTTGAAAGACTGTTATTTTTGTCCTCAGACTCATCCTTCTCTGTCTTGGAGGCCTTTGACGTCTCAGGGCTCTTCTGTTTACCAGCTGTATTGAAGAAGTTATTGAATCCATTTTTTTTGGCAGCTGCTGGCTCTTTATCTATTTTTGAACGATTTACAAGCTCCACAGGCTTTGAATTCACTACCTTTGTACCCTCTGTAATCTTCATAGCTGCTGTTCCCCAGCGTAAGAGATTCATCTCCTCATCACTGCGTTCTACACAGGCATCACATTTTATGGCGCTGAACCTCACATCGCCAGCTGTATCAGAGTTGGCAAGCAACTCCAGATCCTCCAGAGGCTTGTGTACACTATACATGTGCTCAGAAATGATTTTACTAAATTTCTCCTTAGCCTTAGATAAGTCTGATTCTTTGACAACTTCCACACGCATTCCATTTTCTTTTAACATACCTATTAATAAATATGTACATTCGATATTGTCCCTGTCGCGGTATTTCTCATAAAATTCCCACAACATTTGCTTTGCTATATTTACGTGCACTTCTAGTTCCTTGCTCAACCATTTGTAAGTAACCTGCAAATGTCATCGTGTTATATTTCAATCTTTTTCGTGTTTTAATATGAATTAGCATCTGTATTTCAAGAGACAAGCATTATATTCCGAAATAAATTGTCACTTTTATGCAAACAAATAAGTATAGGTTATTTGTATTTAAATATATTCTATTATATTTCTATTGTCTCTTATATTCTATTTTCACTTAAAATTTTAATGAAATTACCAGTTTATCGTGATCGAAGACCTGGCCAGCGAGAATCTCTAGATAATCGTTCGCGGCCATTTTTAAATAATTTTTTTCACAAATATCAATTTATCAACAAAACATTTCAAATCTTATTCTACTTGACATAACCTTAAACTCTCCCATCTGGCGGTCCCAATCCCGCCACCACAGTTTTACCAACTTTAAACTTTGTATTATGAAACCTGTGGTCTATTCTTTTCAATTGAATTATCCAAGATTTTTTGTTGGATATCGGACCGTTTTATAGGCTGCGTTCCGAATCTTTTGTTGCGGCATTATATGAGTTACTACTCGTAAAGGCCTTCACACACACTTCCGTAACAGTAACCGTAAGACGTAACGTAAGAATTGACCAATTACGATGGAGTATTCACAAAAATGGCGACCTTATGTTTCGACGATTCTCAACGTGATTGGTCAATTCTTACGTTACGTCTTACGGTTACTGTTACGGAAAGTGTGTGTGAAGGCCTTAAGGAGAACAGACCTACTAATAGTCTTCTTTCATGTGTGGTAAAAGGGTCATTGAGTACAGGCCTGGAACCATATAGAGAGAGAGAGAGAACAGATCTAAAATACTATGCCGGTCTCCGGCTGTTACGTATCAAAGTTAGGTTAGGTTTAATAAGTGTATGTCTAGACTTTATGCAGAACATATTTTTTAAAGTTTCTGCAAAGGTTAAAGTTGAATATTATAAAAAAAACAGGGAAGAAAAAAGAAAGTGTAATAATATAACATCTAAAGGAAAATTTATAAGAGAAAAAGAAGATGACGATATGGTTATGTCGTGCAGATAATGTTTACGTTTTGTCAATAAAAAAAAAACGAACTATACCTATGATTTAAATCGACAAAATCATTTCTTCCCAATTATTACAGTTTCTCTTGTAAAAAAAAATTGCAGCCTTTTTAATATTAAGTTATTAAATATGCAACGATTGAGCGACTGTTTAGCTATTCGCACTAATTTCTACTGGAGATGTTACTGTACTGTGAAATTGGACAATAATCAAAGATTAGCAGGTAAATTCCTTTCGAGCGTTTTATCCTAATTATATTTTTTCGTAATTCTCACATAAAATTACTTCCAGAAAAAAATATAGAGAATTTAAATATTATATTAATATAAAAATCCTAGAATTATTAAAAGATATTAAATAATTATAAAATATTAAAATCTTTGTATACATGATATAGATTCTGTTTATTATAGTTCTTTTTGCCTTTATATATTAATAAATTATTATTAGTAGATAACATTATTTCGTTCAATTCATAAAATCGAAAGAGTTAAGAAATTATAAAAATTGTAAAATTGAAAGAATCAAAAGAAAGAGAATAAGCATTCAAATGTATGAAATTTATGTTATGTATAATTTGTAAATAGATTTTCCTGCAATCTATAAAGCAAAGGATGCAGAACAAAAGTGGTACAATATATGGCAACAAAACAAATACTTCGCTTCTTCAAAGAGGAGAACTAGCAATAATAATAAGGACTCTTTCAACATGATCTTGCCACCTCCTAACATTACAGGAGTATTACACTTAGGCCATGCACTTACTGCCACTATTCAGGATGTTCTGGCCAGATGGTACATTAAACTAAAATTGAACTTCCAATTGATCTGTTTTAGCTTCTTCCTACATCTAAAGTGTTTCTCTGACTATAGACTTTCCTCTGTAGGTATAGAATGAGGGGCTGCTCAGTGCTGTGGATACCAGGTCTGGATCACGCAGGTATCGCCACGCAGATCATCGTGGAGAAGCATCTACGTCACACGCGGGATTTGTCGCGCCTCGACCTAAGCAGGGAAGAATTCACGTCGCTGGTCTGGCAGTGGAAAGCGCAGAAGGCCGAGACCATCCGCGATCAGCTGAAAATGCTGGGTGCCACTCTTGATTGGGACAGAGAATATTTCACTATCGACGAAGTACGTTTGAAATAGTAAGGTCAAATTGTAATCGGTGCGATTCTAGCAGAATTAGTTGAATTAATATTACGAATTGCGCGCAGCAACACAGCGCGGCGGTGAAGGAAGCGTTCGTGCGGTTGCACGAGCGAGGTCTTTTGTACAGAGGCTGTGACTTCGTTAACTGGTCGCCCTCTCTGCGCAGCACCATCAGCGACATCGAGGTAGAAAACGTGGCTATTCAAGGAAGCACCAAGCTTCACGTGCCCGGCTACAAAAGTAAAGTGATGTTCGGTCGCATGATGAAGTTGGCCTTTCCCGTGGAAGATTCTGGTAAATTAGAGATACATTTAGTTAGTTTCATGAATTACATAAATATGACTTTAATTAGTGACGTGAATAGTTTTATGTGTCATAATATAATCTTAATTATAATTATCACAGTTGGTCAACTTTATTTTCAAAATTAATTTTTATTAACTTAATAGTTGCATTTGTCTTGTTCAGAGGAAACATGGGATTATCCTTTCTGTTTCTTTCATAGAGGAGGAATTGATAGTGGCAACGACCAGGCCGGAAACCATGTTCGGCGATGTAGCTCTCGCCGTGCATCCGGATGACGAGAGATACGCGAGATACATTGGCCGGTGTGTTATGCATCCCGTCAGAAATGTTCCTATCCCCGTCGTGGCCGATTCCGTGGTCAAAAAGGAATTCGGAACCGGTGAGAGAATGATTATCCTAGATTATTCATGTAGTAGTAAAAAGGATCTCACAACTGATTTCTTCTTTTCAGGCGTGTTAAAAATCACGCCGGCGCACGATCGCACAGACTACGATATCGCCAAGAGGCACAATCTGCCTGTCATTGGTGTCATTAACGAGGACGGCAACATGATGGACATTTGCAAAGGATTCGAAGTGCTTAGCAAGTCTAATAAAATCTTATTTAATTGTGTGTTTATTTATTTACTTATCTGTTTAGCAACTATGTTTATTCTGCAGGGATTGCCGAGATTCAAGACAAGAGAGAAGCTACTGCACGAATTGTCTGTTCGAGGAGTACTACGAGGCGTGGACAATAATCACACTATGATGTTGCCGCGTTGCTCGCGCTCGCAGGATATCGTAGAACAAATATTGAAGGAACAGTGGTTCGTGAAATGTGACGAAATGGCTAAAAGCGCTATTGAGGTGCTAGAAAACGGCTCGTTGAGAATCGATCCCAGCGTGCATAAGCAACATTGGCGAGACTGGCTTGATAATATTAGGTAATTAATTAAAATTGTAGTAAGTTAAATAATGGACTATTTAATCGCGTGAGAAAGAGACAGAAATTAGAATTAGTAATCAAGCGGGCAATATTATTATTGTTCGATTTTCTTCAATTTCTTCAATTTTCATACATGATTGTCAACTCTCTGATTTTTCTTTTTTCTTCAGGGACTGGTGCGTGTCGAGACAGTTGTGGTGGGGCCACTCTATCCCGGCGTATTCCGTAGTCCATGACGGTTCATGGATAGTCGCACGGTCTGAAGAAGAGGCTTATTCGATAGCCAGAAAAAAATACGGAGTCGATGTGAAACTTCGTCAAGACGACGACGTTCTCGACACGTGGTTCTCCTCAGCGATCGTGCCGTTCGCCACGCTTGGCTGGCCTAAAGATGTAAGAAAGAATAAGAATAATAATTATATATATATATATATATATATATATATATATATATATATATATTTATAAATATATATATATATGTAATATTAAACTTAATAAATATAAAATACACATTTTATTTGTTTTTTCTTTTTACGCACAGACGCAGGATATGGCGAAGTACTACCCATTGTCTCTGATGGAAACCGGCCACGACATCCTTATGTTTTGGGTGGCAAGGATGGTGATGCTAGGTTTGGAGTTGACGCAACGTTTGCCTTTCAAGGTAATCTATCTTCACCGTTATAAAGGTTCTAACTGTAATAAGAATTTTGAAGAATCTGTGTGTCAAACTGTTGTTACACAGGAGGTATTTCTACATGGAGTTCTATGCGACGCCCATGGCAAAAAGATGTCCAAGAGTTCCGGCAATGTAATCTCTCCAGAACACATTATAAACGGCTGCAGCCTGGAAGTAAATATGATATTAAATAATATAATATTAGTAGAAATCAATAAATTAATTAATAACGTAAACTTAATTACTTATTATTAATTCAATTTTTACTTAAATTTTTTCAGCAAATCTCAGTCAAATCTTAGTAATATCAATCTCTTTGTAATAGTTTAATTCTTATGGGGAATATAATTATATATTATTACTAGGAGTTAGACGCGCAAGCGAGATGCAGTCACGAGGCTGGTATCCTCAGCGCTAACGAGCTGCATCGAACGCTTCGCGTCAATGCAAAGTCTTATCCCGATGGGATAGTCGACTGCGGTGCAGACGCCCTCAGGATGACACTGTGCGGACACGACATCAAAAGTAAGCAGCGCGTATAAAATTTAATTATAATTAATATTATAAAATATAAATAATTACAAATTACAAAATATTACAAATTTATATTATCGTTTCCGTACATTTTATATTCTTCTATTTTACAATTTATGTGTGTAAAATAATTTATCTGCTCCGTTTTTTATTTTTCAGATCATAACATCAGTTTCGATATAGCGGACTGTCGGACGAATAAACATTTTTGCAACAAAATCTGGCAGGCGAGTAAGTATATGTTGCTGATGGTGAATGAGGACCAAGAGGTAAACGGAGGTATGGACAATTTAAGTAATCTGGACCGGTGGATCTTGAGTCGATTGTCTCGAACGGTAGAGACGATGAACACGGCGTTCGCTGAGCGGAACTTTTACAAAGCTGTCTTTGCGATACGTCAATTTCTACATTATGAATTTTGCGACTTCTATTTGGTGCGTGTTTTAAAAAATTCTTTTAATATTTATATTTTTTAATATGTTAATGTTGTGCCTCATAATAATGGAATATGTCTTTGTAGGAGGGAACCAAGTTTGGTTTCAAAGATGCTGATGCGATTGTCGCATTTGGGCACTCGTACACTCTGAAGAAATGTCTCGAAGTGTCTCTGAGGCTCCTCGCTCCCTTCATGCCTTATCTCGTGGACGATCTGTACACCAGACTCGCCAGGAAATTCCCAGTGTCCTTCCTGCAAGTCTCTTCGTTGCTGGAGGCTGAATATCCAGAATACGAGGAGGTTTTTTTCATTATTTATTTCAAATTTATTTTTGGAAGCTTTCTTTTGAATTTATTTTAAAAAGTAAAGTAAATCTGTTTATACTCAGAAATATATTCAAAATACTTACATATATTGTGTTTGTGATTGTATAGATCAGTAATAATTTGTAAATTAGAATGAAATAATATTTTTAATAGTTTTCCTCACTGTATTTCTTTTTCAGTTCGAGAATTTGAAAGATATTTCGTTGGAGGAGAACATGCAGAAAATAATTGATGTAATAAACGCTATCAGAAGTTGCACGACGAACGTGAGCAAGAAATTAAATCCAGAAGGTAAGATTTGAAACCGCTCAACTTACCCAATATAAATTAATTTAAATTAAAAAAATATGTAATAAAATAAATATATCAGGGAAAAAATATATATAGTACTTTATACTGTATAATTTTACGTTGCTACAATATTTAAAATTCACCTCAATTTGCTAATTGTTGAGATATCAATAATATTCTTAATTGCGTGTAAAAATTATTGTTTTTAGTCAGTATACTAACCGAAAATTCGCAAGACTATGATTTATATAAGGACAACATAAACCTAATCAAAGGAGTAAGCAGAATCTGGAACGTACCGATTCACTTGGCAAAAAATTACGAGACTGCCAGAAAGGATAACTGCGACGAAATCCAACACGTTCACACGGACGACTGTTTGTTACTAATCAATATTGCGGTAAGTAATAGCTAAGCAAAACGCTTTTCAGAACTTGAATTTTACATTTCAAAATTAAACGAATATTCCTTACATTTTGCATGTAATTTATATATATTTATATATTTACTTGTTTAATTAATATTTCCTTAATTTTTTATATTTACTGTTCTCATATTCTTCAGGACGCGTCGGCGATAGAACAAATAAAAAGAAATATTAAGAGAAAACAATGTTCGGATTCGAGAATATCGGAAATCTCTCAAAAATCGGAGAAATTAATACAACAAGAAATCTAATTCGACATATGTATAATTGTAATTATATTAGTAAAAGAAAAAGATATATTTGTACTTAATTTCCTAAATATAAAATCTATAAAGTTAAATTAAAACCAGTTCTCGCGTCCCCGTAGCAATAAAATTTCTATTTGATAGAAAGACGTTACAGAAAATAACATTACATAGAACACATCTACTTTTAACACGGAACAATACGCGATGTTTATTATGCTTTAATTATTATTTTATATTAGATAGCAAAAAGATAATAGGTTATGAATAACTTATCATATAATGTCTAGATATAGCTTCCGGAATCTTATCATATAATTTTACCTAAAACAATCTTATTAATAACTGTAATTTAAAAAAGTTAATAACATATTTTTATATTTAAGTATTACATATAAATCTTTATCAGTCTTTCAGTTATTAATATCCGTGCTATCTTCATCATCCTCGCTGCTATCCTCTTCTGAGCTCGAACTCGAGATCAACTGCTGCAGCTCCTTCTTATCCGATATCAGCGTCGTCCATTCTTGTAATTTTCGGTAATCTGCGATACCACGTATGCATAAGTAAACAATATTTAATGACACGTTGATTATCAAACGACGACGATACCTAGACTGTAGAAGTCGTTGAGGGTGTACTGCCGTGCATTGTCCTCTATAAGTCCGCCGTATAAGTATAGAAGATTGTTCTTCATCACCATTCCGGCATTTATTCGCGGCCATGGCGAAAATGCGGCTTTTTGCGGATTCTCATCCGCGAATAAATCGCCCGCATCGGAGACCGTTTTGACTGGCGCTGAGCCCAGCGTCATCTATTTCACGCGAAGATATTTTGAAAAATCCATTTACTTCAATAGTCATAACAATATTTCTATATTCTTATGTTATTAAAATATGATAACTATAATATAATTATCATATTTGTATCGTAATATGATATTTCAAATATTATATAAAATATATTAACACGCACCGTGAATATTCCGTCTTCAACAGTGATCGTGTTTGATTGCGCGGCATTAGTTGGAGATTCCTGCGACGTTTCCTCGGAATCGTCGTTCTGCTGATCTTCACTTCCCTCAACTCCTTCCTCCTTCGGTCTTCTTCTTCTTCGTCGTTCCGTCGTCGTATCCTCTTTCTTCCCGGATAATATAACTGCAGGAATATATGATTTATTTTATTACATCATATGGACTGATTCGAAAATAATTGTGTGTGAATACTTAACCAAATTTACTTATATATTTGTCGGTGAATTCTTGAAAGTGATGGAAGTAGACAACAACTCAGGCGCACCGTTTCGCGAATTATGTTCTTCGTGCGATATAAACGAGTTAAAAACGGGCACTTACCCTTGTGCCACTGAAACTTCTCAAGATCCAGAGCGAACAGATCATTGTAGAACGTGCCTTGAAAGTCCTCCTCGCAATCTTCGTCTTCTTGGTCCTGCACCCCGCCGAACAGCAGCGCTTGATTAATCTGAATAAGCGCTGCGGACATGCCGCAACGTGTAGTTGGGCGCGTTCCGGTCTGTCGCACGCTGATCCACTTGTACTTAGTTGCGTCGTTCTCTAAAATTTATTGCCATATTATCTATTACATGATCATCGCATTATTCACTATGACATAGTTGTTCAAATCTATAGTATGCGCAATCTATAGTGTACGCGTTATTCAGTAAAAAAAAAAAAAGAAGAGAGAGTAACACTGACTGTCAGGAGTCAGGAGAAACATGTCGTCGTGGGCACAGCCCTTTTCCAGGTCTTTCTTCACCTTCTCCTTGCTGTAGCCGCCGTACACCATGATCTTATTATCGGGGGTCGGCAGCACTACACAGCCGGAGCGTGGTGCGGGCAGTATTCCTGAAATCATCGATCAACTTGCTTTTAATTAAATTAGAAAAACTCAACGAATTTACATATCAACTTACTACACTAACTAGATATTTAGACTATAATTAGCGTGCTAATCTATATGTTATATCGATATTGTATTTATCACCGCAATATTTTTTATAAGAGAAAAGTAATATAATGAAATACTGATTATATTACCGGCGGGCTTGATCTCGCGCCACACATACGTCTCGAGATTGAACGCGTACACATCGTTGAAGTACTTGTAATCCCGAAGATTATCGTAAAAGCCGCCGAAGACGATCAGATCCTTCTTCAAATGCACCATGCGGTGTCCACTTCTGGCCGACGGACCGTGCGGAGTCCTGAAAACAGAGACATTTCAGGTAACAGTTTCTCTATTCTATATAATAACAATCGATCTTTTTCAGTCATATTTTAACGCTGCGATTGCATAAAACACTCGCATCTATTCTAGGAACGTTATAATTTTATGTGATATTCCTTGTGGTTCTCTCTGCTTGTTTCACACGTACGTAATTTTCTCCCATTTTCTCTCCGATAGTAGAAACACCCAAAGGTCGCGATAGTGATAGTATTGCGACTCGCTAGGGCTGGTGAACTCGCCGCCGAATATCCACAACTCACCACCTCGCGCGGTAGTGGTTACAGCTTGGTGGCCACAGCGTGGGGGTGGGGCTCCAGGTGCCTTCACCACTGACCACTTCTTCTTATCTATATTGTAGAAGAACAGGTCGCCATATACTGTAGTCTAAAAACAAGCAGAAAGTAAGTTGTAGATTTATTTCTCTCTTATATGTTCTTTTATCATTAAATTATTAAATGAATTTTTTATCTCTTTAAATTCAAAAACTGAAATTAAATGATCTTATAATTATCTTATTGTTAATTTACTAAACACTTCTCATATTTATACATTCTCTGATTATATTAATATATTATTTGATATTCTGTGTGATTTAATATCTCTAAATGTGCTTTATTTCATTTATATCACACAAGTGGTTTATATTTTCTTATATGAATACAGTTTAAACACCTAATTAATTTTTCAAATACCTGTTGGCCGTTGAATAATTCTCCACCAAACATGATAAGCTCATTCTTGAAGGGATGTGCATTAAGGGTGAAATTCACTCTTCTGGATGGTGGTTCAATTACAATTTCTTTAACAAACTGTCTACGAGCTTCCTCTCGTTCTATCTCTGCCAATACCTTCTCTATCTCATCCTAAAATAACAATTATTATCTTAATTATTATTATTATTCCCTTTATTCCATTTATTCCTATTAATTCTAATTACTTCTTTTAAATCTAATCAAATTCTTAACTCTTCTTTCTCTTCCTCAAACTCGTTTCCAAATAAATTTATATTTTCTCTTTATTATTTTCTTTAAAATTGTAACTATAAAAATTTAACAATTATATAGTTAATTTATTTCTATATATTCCTCATTAGAAAAGATTAAGAGAAAGAAATCTAACTTCTCCGAGAACAGCCAGTTCCTTTTTTTGCCGGGCTTTTAATTTCTTCTCGGTTTTTAACGCTGTCTTCTCGCTGCCGCTCATCTTTTTCTTATTTTTACCCTTTTTATTCATTGTATCGTTTATACTGTTAGAGAAAACGTAATAAATTTAACACGAATTAATTTAACTAGCACTCCGAATACACGTGTACTCTTCCTCTTATGTTGGTTGATTTAGGGAGGTCTTTTTTTGACCTATTCCTAAAATGCCGCTCACTCAATAATATAAGAAAGGTATACTAGATTAATTTGGTAATGCCAGTTTCAGTTTAATAGATGAGCAAAGTTATTTCTTGGAAATAATTCTAAAGTATTTTCCAAAAGATCACACAAATTACGTCTGAACAGATCTAAACATATCTTTACGTCACGTCAGCTAGGTCGGAACTGATGCACGTGTATCGAATCCGTGAGCAGCACTGAAATATATAATACCTGGAACGCGCACTGCCTCTTGAGGCGTGCGGGATGAGAGAGAGGTTCCTTGTTTCCTCTCTTATCCTTGTCTGGTTCATGGTATAATCGAGAGTAGGGCGAATGTGATACAATCTAATGGCTTCTGCACACAGGACGCGGTAATGCTTGCCGCGCGGCGGAAGTCCGCGCGACAGCCAATCAATATGTTGTTTCTCTGTAAGAGCTAGAAGGTTATTACGGAAAGCAGCATATTGATTGGCTGTCGCGCGAACTTCTGCCGCGCGGCAAGCATTACCGCGTCCTGTGTGCAGGAGCCATTAAGCTTATGAACGAAAGTTTGTTATAAAAAAAATATATATTTTTTTCTCATTTATTAGTATTCACTTATCGACTTATTAGTAAGAAAAACAAAGCAAAGATGATTCCTAATTCGGAGATTCAGCTTATGTTTAGAAATCAGCCGACTTAGCTTTAGGTTCAGACTGTATTAGACAAAGACAGAGCGCTGTTCGAGACCTACAAGCATGCTCTCTCTCATCCCGCAATACTCAAGAGGTAGCGCGCGTTCCAGGTAGTATATATTTCAGTGATGAGCAGTGATGAGAGGTTTGAGATAAGTGGCGGACCGAAGGTCGTTGTGCGCATGCGCGTGTGACAAGCCATGTGACTGACACCGATAGACTCATACTTACATGTGGTGTAACCTACCATTTAATTTTACAAGCTTCAAACAAAAATCTCCAAATATAACCGATAAAATCTCCTAATGTAATCAATCTATCATTTCATTTATGTTTGTATCGCGGAATTATTGTGCCGCTCGTTTCATAAAGTATTCAAATAAAACACAAATATATTATATTAAGTTTGTTTCTCTCAAATATAATATAACACACATAACATTCCACTATAATATATTTTTAATAAACTCTATCTATTTTTCCATCGCGATAATTTGGTCGAAAAGAGAGGCCACTTGTTTGGGAAATCCATGTAACTCCGTAAAAGCGAATTGCCCTTGATGTAAGACATTGATATGTGAGACGTTTTTCTACTCGGCCGGTACGAAGATGAAGGGCTGTGGGATCGACAAGCTCTTCGTTTAACGACCAAATATCAATGTCAGCAGCGCTTTGTTCAGTGCGCGGGGATCGCCGGTGGATCTAAGATTACAAATACATATAAAACATATCAGTGCACATTATATCGAATATATATTATATCATATTGAAATAAATCATATCAAAATTACATACCGTTTAACAATGAGGCCATCATTGTGGCCGAACAATTCATGTAGGATGCGCGTTCGCGATTACATGTGGCCCATCGGTATCTGGGTGTCCGCGCGATTGTTACCGGACGGGAAAGTCTCTTCTTCCAGATCCCAGATCGCCTTATCGTCGAATTTCTCATCCTCCGGGATTGAGCCGCAAACCGACACGTGCATGAGATGACCTACGCAAATTGAGGGATAACGTTACGGATTCAACGATATCGCGTTGCACGATTAATTCTCCCTAATTCACAATTATATCTATGCTGTTTATAAAAATGAGAGATTCATTTAATAGAAAAATACCAAATCTTTTGCACCAAATATACATGTACAGAGTGTGTGACTCACTTAACATTAAATCCTAAAATATCTGCTGCTTTTTATACTAGAGAAAAATATATAAGGAATAAATTTTATAGGAGTAAATTAATAAGGAATAAATTCTAATAAAAGGAAAAATAAATAAGGAATAAATTCTATAGCCGGAAGGATTGGTTCACTACAACATTTACTGCTTCCAATCACGCAATTTATTTTTTATACACATTTCCCTATAATATAAACAAATACAGAGATACGTTAGATCTTACAAAGGATTTTACCCAAGTGTGACACGTCATTTTTCTTAAAACTCAACACACATATAGCATATGACATGACATTTTATATGTGATATTTTATATCAGCCTGTTTTTTAATTTGCACAATTATTTAGATGATTGTTTAAACAAAACTCGAAGTGGCGATGTACGTAAAAACTGATATCTATAAGTCTATAACATGTATAAACCTAAAACATATAAACCTAAAAATAAGCACGTAAACTCATGTACTCAAAGCTCATAACTCGAAAACCCATAAACCCGTAAACCTGAAATCCACAAGTCCAAAACCCATAAACAATCGTATAAATAATTGTGCATAATTAAAAAACGGACCGATATAAAATATTACATATGAAATATCATATCATATGCCACGTGCGTGCTGAATTTCAAGAAAAATGGCGTGTCACATTTGGGTAGTGTCCCTTGTTTAAATCTAACGTTAGGTGACTTGCCCTGTGTGCGTGTGTGTACAATTACACATTTTATCACAAAAACACACGTTGCATATTAATCGCCACGCTGTCCCTTACCTTTCGCGCGTAATTCCGCGATTCAGAAATCGATTACGTACATACCTGTTATTAATCCGGAAACGATGGAGATTCCCAGGGTGACCACCAGTGCCAGTAATTGAAATCCCGCTTGCTGATATGCCGTCCGATCGTATCCCGGCGATATATCGTGCATCGTGTCTCGCAGCTCGGCGTATTTCTGCCCCGAGCTAGGTGCTCGCGCCCGGAAGACCTATCGCAAATGCTGGCAATTAATATAAGATAAGAGTGAAACAACTAAAGAACGATGAAAGCAATGGCCAAGGTATGATTAATATGATAAAGTAATATGATAAAGCTGAACTATATACTCTCTAAATTTCTTGGAGTGAAAATACTGCCACTCTTGCAATAAGAGTGAAATATTCATTCCAATCGAGTGAAACATTCACTCATATGAAGAGTAAATATTGCCACAGGAGTGACTGTTTCACTCGATTGGAGTGAATATTTCACTCTTATTGCAAGAGTGGCAGTATTTTCACTCCAAGAAATTTAGAGAGTATACTGTGGCTGGTATTCATAGTCGGTTCTTATATTTGAAATCGTCTTAAGTTTATTTTCAGATGCTTTGTAACCAATGAAATCATTCGTAGACCATCTAGGGATGAACTTAAACGGTCTTAAATATAAAATCCGATTAAATACCAGCCCGTGAGTGATTTATCCTAGTAGGAGAAGAGGTCCCGCAACAATCCCCGTGGCAGTCAACGCGTTAATAATAAGCCTCGCGGTATCGAACGACGATGAAGCGACGGCGGTGTGCGCGACCCACATAGTTGGCGTGGAGGCCTTAAACGACGTATCACTTCTTCATCAGTTTGGCTTGGTAATTATCGCTAAAGTTTACTCGGAAATTCACGCGATCGCTCCACCAACTAACGTACCGCGCGGGCTCCCGCGCGCGCGTCGCTCGTTAAATGTACTTTAGAGAATTAATCACGGCTGGAACCGGACGATTAATACGCGCGACCAAGTTACGTACGTTGTACAGGGAATAGTCGTAAACGGCTTCGGTCGCAATGACCGCCATGAGAGCGCCGAAAAGTCCCGCCAGCACGCCGGGCATCCCGTGTAAGTTGTGCACCCCGCAAGTGTCGTGGATCCGCATGTGCTTCTGTATCATCGGCTACAAGGAGGAAAAAGAATTGTGCACGAAGAAAAATAATAATAATTTTGCTGTTTTAGCAAAATCGACGTTGCTATATATACGTTGTTGTATGTACTGACATAAAAAAAATTTAGTTGACGTAACTAATTTTACTAATTATTTGTTATCAGAGCAGAAGTAGTTGCCAGGATAGAAAAAAATCTGTTGAGTGTATTTGTTCTAAGAATCACGTTAATTTGCTATTGATGCAAAATAATGTATCCTTAGCAAATTTATTTGTTATCGGAGCAAAATTGCTTATATAAATTCATTATAGTTTCTTATAGCAAAATAATTTGTAGATTCAGCAAATTATATCCAGCAAATAGTGATTAGTATTCTTAGCAAATCTTTTTGCTGTCTATATAATAACGAAAAGATTTTGCTAGACCAGCAGAAAATTTGCTGGGCCAGTAAATTATTTTTCTCTGTGTGGATTTACGCATGTTACTCATAATATTTCCATCAGCTCATCGCAACTGTTTACACTCTTACGAATATATATATTTTTTATTCTTCTACGACTCAAAATTTATGTTACATTCCCGCTTCTACTATGCTTGCAGATCATCAAGTCCTCCGTTTTAAATAAATCTTACGTTATATCTCTATATCGTTTTTTCTGCTACAGATCCTTCAAATAAAACTGGAACTGACTCTCTCGTTAAAAATGCCGGTGAAATAATTTTAGCCTTTATAAGTCTACAAGATAATCGAAAGAGAAAAAAGTATTTAATCATTTTTTGTAGTTTATTATTCTATAAAATGAATGAAAAATACAAAAAAAAATTTTGCAATTGCCGCCGATTTATTTTGACAACTCAGGTTTGTTGGTGTTGCCAGTTTAAAAATCGCGATAAATGTTTTATTATGTCAAAAAGAAACTGTCGTATATGTTCCGTTTACATTATGCCAAAAAGAAACTGTCGGTCATTATTTATTCGCTATTAAATTAGAAAAAAATATTGGAGAAAAATATTTCCCATGGTCCTGAAAGGGTTAATAAGGTTTATAAGAGTTATGTGTGGGTGTGAGTTTAGTAGTACTCACAAGCAGCTTACCGTGAGGAATTTGTATCCCAGCACGCTGATAATTCCGGACACAGCTCCGACGGCCAAAGCACCAACACCTTCGCACATCATACCTGCGTGCATTGGAGAGAGAAGAAAGTCGCAATTTTATCGTGCGATCGGAGGGCAGCGATTGATTAGCGGTGCTTTTGACTCGTCACATATTAATGGCGATTTTGAACGTTTCGGCAATTGTCACTGGCGAAGTGAGGAGAAGAAGAATACCTGCGGCCGTGCCGATGGCGACGCCGCCGGCGAGCGTCGAGTTTTGCACGTGCACCATGTTGAACTTCATGTTGTTAGAGACCAACGCGGACACGGCGAACGCGGTCACGCAGCTGGCGGATATCGACAGCAGGGTGTTGATTATCGCGCGTTGCTGATCGGCGCCCGTCAAACCCGCGCTGTTGAACGACGGCCAAAACAGCCATAAGAATAGCGTGCCTGCGGAGCACTGATTATTAAGAAACTGGAAAAAATTAACATAGAATACATATTGAGCGATAAGAGAGAAAAAGAGAAATCTTGCACATCACCGTTCTCGAGATTCCAAGTTCTCCGACGAATTCTCTCACAGAGAAGTCAAAATATATCTCTTGCAACAGCTCACTAATAAGGGAAGTTCGCGAAACCAAAAATTTCCAAATTTGCATTTTGAAATTTGAATTTTGAAATTTGAATCCCAAATTTGAACTTCTGCAGAAATAAAGTATATAGGAACCTAATCACTAAGTTATTTTTCATTTTGGCTTAAAAACAGTTGGAAGGATGAAAACATCTGTTCAAAGAAAATCGAATTTCTCATATTTTTGATAATATCTCTGAAAAAGATTATCTTTACCAATCTGACCAACAATTAAAAAAAAGTATTTTTTATTTCTCCATGCCTCCCCTTATCCTCACATTTATAAAAATTTATTTATTTAACATTTTTTCAATATCTTCTATATTTTCAGAGATATTAGCAAAAATATGAAAAATTCGATTTTTTTTGAACAAGTGTTTTCACTCTTCCAACTGTTTTTAAGCCAAAATGAAAAATAACTTAGTGATTAGATTTATATATACTTTATTTTTGCCAAAGTTCTAATTTTTAGGAATTTTCGCGAACTTCCCGTGTGAGCGTAAACTGTATCTAAGGGACGATAGGCGCTTCTCGCACTCACCGATCATGGCGAATATGTCCGAGTGGTAAGACGCACCCTCGAGTTCATGCTCCTTCGGCTCCCTCTTTGTTCCGAACACGTAGCTAACCGCCAGCCCGAAGTACGCGCCGAATACGTGCACGAACATACTGTCGCCGGCGTCGACTGCCTGTGCGAACACATCCGACGAATTACATCCATTCTCGGCCTCATCTCAGGGTAAGAAGCAGAGAGATGAGAAGAAGATATTTGCTTCTCTTCTTCCCTCACGCCTAACGACGCCACGGAACTCATTTCCGAGGGAACCAATCAACTTACCATGAACAGTTCCTCGCCCACGTACTTGTTGACGCTGAACATGATCAGCTCGGCGATTCCCATGAATATTAGCTGCATATAAGTCGTCTTCCCCAGGACCGCTCCCATCGAAATGAGAGGCGCGGCGACGGCGACGTCCGCGTCGAGGAGGCTGAAAGTAAAAGTCACGTCGCGCCGATATTCGATAATTAACGGACAATTATATGTCAAAGTAGTCGTAAATGTAACACTGAGAAGATCGACAGTAGGATCAAAATTTCGACTCGGCCTGCCGATCATTTCGGCACGTCTTACCTGCAAAACGCAGTCAGGAGAATCGAAAGTAAATATGAATCATCCAGTTTGTTCTCACAACAATTCGACCGCTATTTTTGCGGCTCGATAATAGTCTTGATACCCTCCTCCCTCCCTTCTCCCTCTAGCTACTTTATTCTAATTTATTCAATTTCACTCCTTTCTTTTTTTTTAACCCCTTCTTTTATCCACCTTAGCTAATTTTTCACATCCAGATATTTTTCGTCACGACTGCAAGATCACTTTTCTAAACGATGTTTCCATACAGAGGAGAAAGTGAACCTAAGACACTGACCTTTCCAACGAGAGATAAGCCTTGGTGCCTGTCAAGATCTCCGTCACGCCGTTGCAGATCAAAGCCACTTGGACAAGCACGGCGCCAGCGAGGAAGGTCAGTCCAGTCGCGCTCTGACCGTAGCGCTTGAGGAACGTCATGAGGAAGCCGAAGCCGACCCAGATCATCACGTGGACATCTTGATACACTGTGCCGTTTTAACCGCCGCAAGGAAGAGAGAACCGAACAACAAAAGCCCTTTTTGTAAGCGACATGCGCCTCGCGTGCAGTTAATGAGAGTAGGCGCCCTTGCTATTTGCTTGCCTTGCCTCGCTTAGCTCGCTTCGCATACTTGCACGAGTGGCTTGCTGCGTGTTAATCGTATGTTAATTGACCGTCACGATCGTTCGATCGCGGCCCGATTATCGTGAATGAAGAATCGTAAACCATGGAATATTTTACACAAAACGACGTGAATGCGCGCGAATCAGCTACTCTTGGTATCTTTCTCTTTTTCTTTTTTACGATTTTTTTTTTCATTTTTTCCTTCTGCTCTTTATGTCCTTTTTCTTTTCACTTCCCGTCTCATTTTGCATTACATCTGCTTTTATTTGGACTTACGTGCGTACGTGATCGGCAGTCTTTTCGCGTGCCCGTTGAGACTGGACGCGTAGGTATTATCCCTGTTAGTCGCATTCGCCTCCGGCGCGTATTCGAACGTGGCGATAAAACAGCACAGCAGCATACCCTCGATCGAGAGGAGCACGACTGCGTGCATCAGCGCGTAATTTCTCATGTTTTAAAATAACATCGGCTTCTCACTCTGTTCTTTACTTTTCGCTCGCAATTATCTGTTTGAGATACGTGGAGTAAGGGTAGACAGGGAGGGATGATGACCAAATATCGTGAGCGGATTTTCCACACGCGTGCTGAGACCAACAACGAACTGTCGCGCAGAAAACGACGACAGGTTCTTTTGTAAAAGTGTGATATCTATCGGCAGTCTATGAAGATAGTACATAGAGTGACAGAGGTCGAGATGTGACGAAGAGAAGTGCGCAAAACGGTGAAAATGAGAGCGAACAGTGCGAGCATTACGCTGCGAAATATTATCATTCGAAAACGTTGTCTACGAAACGTTGCGCGGCGATGAACGCGTAGATAAATGCAGTGATAAATATATATGATGAACGCGAGATACAAAAAAATGATTACGATTACGCAAAAAAAATGACTTAGTAATATCAACTAAATCGCGGTAGCTGCTTCAAACTTAGTCAAAAGCTAATCGTTTAGCTGTCACTGCTAAGAATTGGCTATGACAGCTAAAATGCATTCGCTATGAAATATAAATATATTAGGTAACGTTAAAAATGCACATTATTTCAAGTAGCTAAGAAAATGGCAGTTATTCCTAAATTTCTAATCGTATGTATATATTAAAGAAGTTTGCCCCACAGTTACAATCATTTACTACAGTTATTTGTTTTTAGCAGCTAATATTTTTCGCTGTAGCGCCTAAGTTTAAACAGCGAATAAATTTAGCTTCGGTAGTATTGACATTAGCTGTCCCTATTTCAGTGACACATCTGCCATAGCTATTTTTTAGCTATGGAAACTAGTTTTTTTTACGTGTAATAATTTGAAATTTTAATCATATATCGAGAGAAAATATATGGAAAAAGTATGGAAAATATAGAAAAAGTATGGAAAAAATATGGAAAAAGATTCATAATGTATTTATAACGTATTTGTTTAAATTCAGATTTCTTATATTTACCTAAATAAAAGGAACAGTCATTTTTATGCGGAACTATGATTTCAAGAAAAAGTATATTATTTTCTTATTTGGAAAAAACGTTTTCTCAATATAAAAACATGTATATTAATATGTGTTGTTGATACCTAACGAATATTGTTTTACATTCCAGGTATTTTTTCCTCACACTATACTGAGTGTTGTACATACATACAGATCAGTACGAAGAGTTGAAAAATAATTCAATAAAATACAATAGAATTAAAAGAAATACAATATTTTAAGTAAATAAAAAAAATTTAATATTTTTCCGCGCAACTTCTTCAAGCGTACCACTTAAAGCGCTACTAAATACCGACATAACACTGTTTCGTAGTTTTTTCTTTACTTCTAATTAGGTACATTAAATTAAAAACGCTTTTAACATTAATGAATAGGTAATGATAATCAGTTTATGATGAAATAATTTTAATGTTTCTTTATCGCCCGTAGATAAAGAAGTTTGTTAATTATATCTTAATTATATCTTTGTTAATTATATCTCAGATACTTTATTTTTTCACTTCTTGTATCTCTTCTTCGCCCTACTTTTATTTTCTTTTTTTTGTTCTTTCTCTTCTTTTACCGAATATCGGGAAAAAAGAAAATTGCTTTTTGTTGGGATTCAGCTTTGCCTTAAGGATTTTAATTTCCAGTTTTTTTTCTTCGATTTGAATATACTGATTTATATGTACTCTTTTATATGTGAAAATGCAAACATTAATGAATGTTTTATTCTACATGATTACATATAATCATAAAAAAATGTTTATTTATCGACCATATGTCGATAAAAGCTTTTTATTTACCTACCACTGGTAAATAAATAATTTTTTATTATTTCATGCTGTTTACCATTAATCATTCATTAATGTTTGTACTTTCAACCTGCAATAACACTTTCAATTTAATGCATCTAATTGAAAGAAAAGAGAAATTTACGGAATGTCAATAATTACGTTATATCAATAATCATTATCAAACATGGCAAAATGGCAATATATGATATCGTTTGATAATGTATGATATATGTAATATATCATAAAAAGAGAGGGAAGAGAACTGAAATATTTAAAAAGGAAAAAAGTATGGAAAGAAGAACAACGAATGGAAATTAAAGCTCTAATAAGGATAAAATGTAGTAATATGGAAGAAAATAATAAATATTGGCTAGACAAAAATAAAATATGCATTTTGTATGAGAAAGATAGAGATAGTATAGATCACTTCATGAAAGAATGTAAAATAGAAAGGAATTGGTTTAAAGACCCAGACAGCACACATGTCCAAAATCGAGTATGGACAATTAGAAAATTATGGATAGAAAAAGAAAAAGCAAAGAAATTAAGCGAGGAAAGATGGAGAAAGGATAAAGAGGGGAGGAAGACAATGGGTAAAGAGATAATGAACAAAGATAGAGTTAGATAGAGAGGCGAATGACGGTATGGATGTATGCATGGGAAGGATGTGTGAGTTAAGGTATAATATTTTAAACCAAGTCCCTACTTCTTGGCTGTAAGCTGAAATATGAATAAATTGACTTGATATGTAATATATTGTAACATTAAGTGCCAGAGAATATGATTATATGTATTTAAAATGAGACAATGAGATTATTTTGTGTAAAATAAATCTCAATTGAATATCATTCTAAATTAACGTAAAATATATATCACCGTCCTCTCTCTAATATATTTTAAAAACTTCAATCATTTTATCAAAAATCCCATAAGTAAACTAAAAAGTCAACTCTGACAGTGAGGGGCGACCGCCCGCCGTTTGGGATTCTGCTGCGATCTTCATCAGCAATCATATCTTCATCCCTTAAATCAAACACGCTCCCGCGAATTCTCCCAGACACAGTCGCGAATATCGTGCGATTACGTGGTTATTGGTATTATTAGCGCATACGTTATTATTGGTCGCGATATTAAATACCTAATCGCATGGAGAGGAGGAGGAGGGCGAAGGGAGGAATGTCACATGCGACAAAGTAAACTTACGAATTCATGCGCATATAATTTGCAACGAGCGCGTTAATTGACGTCGATAGAAGACTGGCGCGGGATAAATCGGCCGGCACGCACACAGGATAGCCGGCCGGTCTGGGCCGTTATTAATAGCGAATCGCAGCTGTTTAGTGATGTTCGATCGTGTATCTGAGAGAGCGATATGTGTTACAGTCGGCTTGTTTTACAAATATCTGCGGATAAATCAATCGATACGTAACACGCATTAATTTGCAGTGGATCGGAATTAACTCGGCGTGGCCTCGGCTTCAAACAAGCCAAAAATAAAAAGGTAAAAAATACCGAATAAAAAAAAAAGAATTCGCTTTTAAGGGAATGCTGAAGCTGAAAATTTTACCGACAGAACACTCATATTTTTCTGTAAATATTTTTCTGTTTATTCGTATTGGTCGTATTAGTTATACAGAATTACAAATATTTTTACACAATAAAAGTACGTGCAAAAATAAATAAGAACATTGCTTGATATGTGACGAAAAATTTTTAATGTAATATCTCAAGCTATTAGTTAGCGTAATATTTGCCTAATCTAAAAGTTCCGCAGCTTGTATATATTGAAAGTGTGGATGCTCCAAACAGAAAAATTTTGAAGAACACTGCTCTACTTTCGTATCTGCATTTGAAAGCTTAAAAATATCGAAAAAGTTTGCAGATTTCTACACATATATAGTTTGGTTTTCCGTTGAATATGGTAAAACAAAGTAACACACATTCATGTAAGTTCTGTATATACAAGAAATACGAAAAGGATAGCGTGATTATGTTAGTGACGATCGTCACTGCATTATTGACATTGTTCGAGTTCGTCATCGACTCCAGCATCCCCTCTAGCATCGTTTGGATTTTCTGTTTCCTTTCTCGTACTATTCATTATAAAAACTTTGCTGTTGGTATTACTATTTTACAAGCTATTGACTGAGGATCAACATTTTACGACTTTTACCCTTTGCTGCAGAACTGTAGCAAACAAACTGAGAGAACAAAGAGGAAATCCCTTCCCTTTCAATGGAATAAATTAACCTTCTGGTTAATTGATAGCCCGATGAGACGTAGCGGGGGTTAAAATCGGTGAAGCAGAACGAAGAGTTTATTTATCGCAGAATTCGTCTCTCGGTGAAGTTAAGGTTTCACCGAGATCGAGAGAAGCACCGAGTGAGAATATCTCATCGAGGAACAACGAACGACACCGTTGCCGTGCCTTTGTTATTCAATAGCGCCACTATTTATTTCCCGCCGCGCGACGAGCAAGTGGAAACTACTTTCGGCGGGAAGAAACGCGGCGCGAGAGAGCACCTTAACGCCAGATGGGATTCACGTGCGAACTTTTCCTTTGCGGCATTGTCGCGGGAAATACGTGCGCACTTATTTCTCACTCGCTTCACTTCGCGAGCAGTAGATACAAATATGTGACGTTGTAATTCGATTTACTCACTCGGATAAATTCGTAATGGGTCGTCTTCTGGTTTCTTGTCCTGGGCTTTGCCGGCAGTGGCGGCGGCGGTGCCTGCAAGTTTGATTAGCATTTATTTCCGACGAGACCGCGAACGGGAACAGAACTCTCGACGGCTGAAACTTCCGGTTGCCGTCGTCGTATGCGCGATTTACCCGCAACTTTCCTCCAACGAGGAGGGATGCGCGGCGCGATCCGCGAGTGATCCGCGAGAAACTTCGCGTGAAACGCGGAGACGTTACTCGCGGAGAGAAAAAACGAGAAGGAGCGCAAAAACGAGCAAAAGAGGGGTGACAAAGAAGAAGAAAGGGAGGAAACGCGAGACGTGAGATTTGCTGGTTCTCCAATTCTTAATCTTTAACCGTCTTTTCGCAGAGAGTCTATTTCTTCCTTTCGCTCTTCCTCGTTTTTCTTTCCGCCACACGTCCGCGTTCGTCCGATCCCCTTCGCGAGAATTAAATTTACATCACTGCGCGAGCCCCATTATCGTTCCCTCTCTTCGGTCACAAGCGCGCGCCCGCACACACACGCACAAATCGCGTATCCGTACGCGACGCGGAGATAAGCATGTTTGGAAATTCGGCTGGCAGTTGCACCATACCATTTGTAACCGTTAACTGCGCTAACTATATTATTGCGTAACTAAGGCGTACACGCACACTTTCGAGGCGACACACGAGCGCGCGAGCGCAAATGTGTGCGTTCCTCGCGTGCCTGCTTGCCTGCCGCGGCCACACGTGTACGGCGGCCGTACCGTTGTATACCGACCTGTGTGATTTCTGTGCAAATTAACACTCGCTTCCGGCCCGTACGTCATCAATGTACCCATTAGCACGATAACGATGATCTCGATCAAAAACAGCCACAGCGCCTGCTGCTTGCCGGAGAACGACGAAAACATTCCCTGCGTAGGAGGAGAGAAAGGTTTCTCAATCGGACCATGGACATTGTATACATGGATCCT